TTCAATCATACTGTAATGGGTTATCAGTTGTTGTTGGCCATATTTAACAGCCCGCTCTAATAATTCTGTTTTCAATATAATAACTCAAAGGAAGAGAACTTAATGGATTCCTGCAGGACTTCCCTAACTGCAGACATCAGATAGAGAATCAGAAAATCACAGTTCCTGCCAACCTTATCAGCGACCTTGTGCAGCGTGAATTTTAAGGCTTTATTAAATCTTTTGACATCTGTCTGTGAATGGTAGGCTGATGTCCTCATGCGCTTTGCTTTAATTAACTAAACAACAGCATTATTTCTTTAGCAATAGTTTTGGAACATACTGTATGTCACACAAAGGTATTACTTCTGGACAGAACAGGGCATAATACACTACTAAAAGCATATGATGATGTCCCCTTGATGATGTAATTATTGGCCCCACCAAATTTTTTGCCATTCCTTCAAGAGGATTAAAGTAGAGGTAGTGGGATCCCGGGGCTTCTAAAAGCTGGGGAAGGAGCAATTCTCTGGCATTCTGGCAATAACCACAGTACTCTGAAATGTAAACAACTGTCCAGCGACAGAAAAAAGCTTCCGATATTCTGTCCTTGGTTTTCAGTACCAGCAGTTTACAGTACCAGCTCTAGTCCTTATTTCAACTTTGCCAGTTGGACAGTGGTTGGTGTCACCTAATATGCATTATGCTTATGTTATGTTGTTATGTGAAGGTTTCACTGAGTTTTTCACCACCATTGTTGATCTTCAGCCATTTCTGTACACAGAAGTTTCTAGTCTGTTTTCCTCAGTGGACCCTGATACCATAGAATATATTTAAAAGAGGCTCTGTTTCTCACTTTTCCACATATTACAGTACATACTATATTACAGTCCATGGACTCCTCTCTCCTCTCTTTTAGGGGATAATCACTGGCCTTATGGAACATCTCCTGTACCTATTACATCTAAATATTTATCTTATTCGCATGTATTCCTTCTCAAATTTCTCACTTGATTGGACTCCCAATAGCTCTTCAGTCCTTCCTTGGGAAAAAATTTCTATCCATATTCCAGGTCTTTGGGTTGAGGACATACAGTACACTCATATGCTGCTATTTAATAAGTCTCCTATGTCTATGTATTGTTCTGGCAACCTCCTTGTTTGTGATCAGTAATTCTCAATGGGTGACATCTTTTCAAGGGCAAAGGCAGACTCCTCAGAAAACAATCCTGGACAACTAACTCTACAACTTGGGATGGGGTGCGAACCTCTGGCTGGAGCCATTTTCTAGCCAAGTGAAAGAGGTCAAAGGACCTGGACCTGGGCTCCAAGCTAGTTTAAATAGTCCAGGTTTGAAACCTTTTGACCTGTAAAGCTAGAATTACCCCTAGGCATACCAACATTTCTGCCTTCAATGTTTTAGTTTTTGGTCAGACCACTGTGTCACCTTTATTTTTACCTCTCTGCAGTCCTTTTAAAAGGCAACAAATACACCTTTGGCTGTAGTCATTTTTATGCAGATAATGGCTTTCCCAGATATTGAAGGGGTCTATTATCATCCGTGCAGATAGTTCCTCTACTTCTAGAGCAAGGAAATACTTTTCCTTTCGTAAATGCTGACGAATGAGTTTCTGCTCATCTCCATGCAGCAGACTTTGATCATGTTGCACAGCAGCCATCTGTTGGAGTGCTGTGGTATCATCATCACTTTGAAGCATTCCTCAACATTTCCTCCTTGCACACAAACTGTATTGCCCACATTCTCTGCCATGTGTGACAATTTGGGGTGCCACATCATCTCTGGCCAGGATCTTTCAGTTGTGGCTTCATTCCTTCACAGGGAAACTAGCCACACAAATGTGTCTTCCTAATTAGTTACTATTTAGATATGGGTTAAGCTTCCAGCACTGACAGGCAGCAATAATCAATCTTGGCTCCACCTTTGGAACCCCTTGTTTTCTTTCAGCACTTAAACCTCTTTGTTCAGCAATTCAAGACTCCCTAAGAATACAAAAGGCTTGTATTTACCACACCTTTTATACCATGAGAGGCTACAATTAAGCTAATTATCCACAGCTGAGCCTCAACACACTGGACTCTGGCTAATCAGTGTTCCCTTTTTTTATTCCTGAAAATGTAGTTTTCTCATTGGAACAGAGCAGAGGATTATAGTGGGTAGAGGCTTCTCAAACATCTTGTTCCAAAATGGATTCCTTTACAACCTTGCCCTACATTCTGTCACAGGATCAAAATGTGGTAGAGAAAGGTAAACAAAGGACTAGGAAATAGGAGGAAATAAGAGAAAATGAGAAATAAGTTACATGTTCTTGTTCTCTGGCACAATGAAAAGAATGCCTTTAGGGTTTAGATATCTCATTCAAAACCATTTTAGGATTATTGGAATCACTGATTCTGGATTTTTTTCTTCTTAGGAATTCTAAGTATGGCTGTCATAGAATAATGAATTTCAGATTTTTAAAGAAATACTGTGATGTATAATTTACACATCAATCATGTGGAAGCAATTTCATCATCTTATTTCAAATTAAACCTTAAACCTTAACCTTGATGATTGCACACCTGTTGCCTACATAATGTTAGGATTAGTGATTAGATTTCAAATCCAAGCTTTGTCCAGGCCTTAAAGGCTGTGCTGCATCAACACCTCATTGACCTAATCAGAAAATCAATCAAGACTTTTGGTGTCATTGTGATAAGCTCCTTCAACAAGAAAAGTTGAAAAATTAGGCATTCTACAAAATATCCAGTAAGCATCCTAAAATTTAATTCCTTTTAGCTCCAGACAATTTTGATATTGCAATGACACAACCAAGTGCCGAAGCCTTACTGTTTTCACACATTCTATAGCTCTACTAAAAAAAAACCTACCACCTTTAAGCAACTCCAACTGACTGTTTTGTGGCATAATTGCACGTACTGTAGCACACATGAAGCTTGATCAAGGGATTTGTGATATCTGAAAGCACTCTGTCCCAATCATTTATATACTGTAGTAGGCTTTTTAGCCAGGTTACCAAGGTACCAATATGCCATACTAATGCACAGCCTTGAATTAAAAATATATACATGGCTACCTGTAAGCCCTCTGCTGCTGGAGAGTAACTGCATGCTTATAATCTGACATGCAGAATAATGTAGACAGCTTTATTCACTGTCTTTTTGTCTTTTTTCAGTGTTTCTATAGTATCTCAGTAAATAAGAACAGACTAAATATAAATTTGAACTAAGTCAGTTTTAGTTTTATGTGGACAACTGCCTTCATCTCCTGATATTCATTTGATTTTTCAATTAATTCCACGAATGCCCCATTCATCATCCTGGTCACTTACAGACCTTTACCTGAATGCCTATTCTTTGTGTCAACTGGCGGTTCTGCGATTGGCTCCGCAGAATAACATGAAAGCCCTGACTTTGATATCTCAGACTCCATCAAGACGATGGCAAAACGCAACTTGGTACTGCCGAGATGAGGAAATAAATGAAAGGGCACATTTTTGTTCCCTCCCATGAATTTCTTTAGACAGTATCAAGAACAGAGAGGAATAGCAGTGCGTTAGCAATGTTAATAATCAGCAACCAGTTAATTTTGGAAACATTTCCTGTTGTGCATGTTTATTTTCTGATATTAGGTTTTCGCTTTATAGATACTAGGATCTGGATTCCAGATATCTGCTGGGAGGTTTTTGCTATTACATGAGCACACACTGAAAATAATGAAAATACAGAGACAGTCTGTATAAAAGGATATATTTACTTTATGGAGAGATGTTGTTCTGAGTTACCATTTAGCACCTAGCTGCAATACAAATATCATCATGCATTGCAAAATGTTATAACATAACTAAGGATGATGGACTTTTATAAATTTTTGTACTTAAAATGAAGTTTTCTTTTGTGGTTTGGGCAAGTAAGGCTGTACTTACAATAATAAGCATAATGCATATTGCCTATCTTGTATGGATTGTAATGATATTTTTACTGCAATCAAAGTATTCTTGAAATTTACTATGCAGTAAACATTTCAGAAACAAATACACAACTTGTGTCAGATGAACTATAATATTGATTTGCTTCCAGTGGTTTGGGTTTATGGTTTTATATAGTGTTATAAAAAGGTGTATAAAAATGTCACATTTCATTGACTAGTGCATCACATCTGTGGCTGACAGTAACAGCAGGACAGTAAAGTCAAATTTTATGTATTGAAAACCACATAGCGAATTTTCAAGAATAAGAAAATAATGGCATTCTACATAGCAAACTATAACTTTCAACTACAAAAAAGTGAATCTGAATAAAGACATTGTTGGGATTTCTTTTTGCTAGCAGATTCATTGATGCTACATGCTTAGATGATGGTTAAATGAATTAATATGAGGAAAGTGTATGTCAAGTATTTGTACAGTATGTGTTCATTTAATCTTTCCAGAATTGTGTTTATCTATATAGTTTTATTAAATAAAAATAAAAATATGCTTTTTAATCATAAAGCATATAGGTAATGTTTTAGTATACTATTTGGTTGAAAAGTTATTCGTTTTGGGGTGTGAGTCTGAGAATGTATAATTCTAACTGGGATAACCAAATATTTTTTAATGTTTTCTGATCATGCACAATAAGAAGCATAGTATCCTGGTTAAGCTTGTTGTTCAAGTACTAAAATCCAAATTCTGAAAATGTCTACCTGTTTTATCATTTCTGTAGTGAGTGGCTGCCTATTGCTATGGAACCAAAATGTTATTCCATATTTTGTTTTGCAAATAGATCTGCTCCTTAACACTACTGACTGCCTGAATCTGACTTTTAAACTGAAACAACTGGCTGTAAATCATAAATTGATAAAGGTGTGTTTACCTACTGTATATAGTTGCACTTTTACTAAAACAAATGTAATAAAGCTTCCTTATGTTTAGATGCTTTGAGTCCTAAATGCTTTTCAGTGTATCAATGCCATTTTCATTTTCATGAAAAAAATAAAACATTCTTTCACCACTGTTTTGAAAGCGCATCAAATATAAAACAATAATTTATTATTTATCTCATTTTACAAGACATCAAAAGGTGTTGCTATCTAGGAATTCATTAAATTGTAATATTTAGTTCAGTACATCCAATCCTACAAAGCGCACAGTAACTACAATAGGCTCCAACAATAACACAATAAGCTTTTTATATATATAAACAAACAAATTACAGTAACTGTACATGCAAAACCTGTTCAACTGGCTACAGAGTTTCGCAGGCAGTATTTCTAACAGGTCTGTCACAAAACAACTAATTTTTAGGAAAATGCTGATAATATGCAGCATCCCTTTTGTGGAACTTTAATACAAATTAAAAAGCTGGTTGTGTACAAAAATCATAAAAAGTACAGCCCAACATGACCACCATTGATTTGTTCGGAAAATCTATTAAAATGTACAAAAGTCCATTCAAAAAGGATCCCAATACTAACTTGAAGCTAAATACTGTTTTTTTTTAAAATAAGCAAATAAAAGTACACATTAACAGTAAAATACTGATAGAAAATACTTGTTTTCAATAAAAATACATACATGTCGGTTGTTATCTGCCCTAGGCAAGCATTCTGTCTACAAATGCAAAAGGGTTTGCAAGTCTAACTCGGGATTATTGATGAGACAATGTTATGGATATTGATGTATAAAGGCAGCATGAAACAGTTTTTTTACATTGTATTCAAAACTATGAGTACAAAGGTAGAAAGGTTATTGAAAGCAGATTTGAAAAAAAAATGTTTGTTTATGTATAATTTGCCTTCAATCTACACTGGATTTTATAATCTGTCATTCAAGATAACCATCCTTTCAAATTGTAGTTTTTTTTTAGATCAACTTATTTTATATTTACAAAAAACATGGTTGCCACATTTAACATGGCAAGAATTTCTACCCCAAATGGTAGTGTCTTATTTACATAATTTAGAAGGCCCACCTACACAGTGGTTACAGATAAAAGGGAATTGTACACTCTTGTTCCATCAGGGGATCTGGTGCCATGAGTTAGCAGTTCTTGGATCGTCATCCAGTTGTCAAATATTTTCTTGTTTCTCTTTTTCATCATTTTTTTGTGGCTCAGTTCGATGATGTTCAACTCTTTTTTGTCCTCTCCACCTCCTTGCTCCCTCAGACAGTCCAGTCTGCTCTGCTTCATGAACTCCCGCCTCTGCCTCTGCTCCTTCGCTCTCACAACGTGCTGCTTCCTCTCCTCTTTGCTCCAGTAGCGGCCCATCTTCATCTCGCTGATGGTGTCGTCGTCTGTCGTCATGCCGCTTCGTTCCTCCTTTATCCTCATTGCCCGCTCCTTGAGGAGCTTGTCCCTCACGGGTCTCTTGGTAATGTAGCGTGTGCCATCGCTCCTGACCTTTACTTTCCACTCCATCTTGGGCTCCAGTGTGCTTTGTGAGCTGGGGTCTCTGCACATGCTCACAAGGCTCATTTGACTCTGGGCATACTCAACGGCAGACTTCTGCTGAATCAGCTGCATGTAGCTCTGGTAGTGCTGGGCATGAGCTGGAATATGAGCATGTTTGTAAGGAGAGTGTGGGTAGGTTAAGCAGGAGCTAGAACTTTTTGAAGGCTTATTGACTTCCGCGGTTTTCCTATCTTTTCCTTCTGATTGCTTGCTGGAGTCTGAATCCTTGGAGGAAGTGCGACCTTTAACAGAGGTTAACTCCTGACCTCCCACTTGGGACAACAAAGGCTTCTGAGCCACACTATTTGCCCCTGTCATACTGACAGCCACCCTCTCACTGCCCTGGCTGCTCTCTGCTGTTCTCCGCAGGGAGTTGTCAGGGGACATCTCCAGTGTTAGAGGTGTGCTCCTGCAACTCTCACCAGTATTGTAGGCACTTGAGCTATCCTTATCTGATTTCTCTGGCAGCTCTGTTATATCCGACAGCTCATGCCTGCGAACGTCGATGCTGGTGTTGTAGTTTCGGAAACCGCTGTTGTGTAGCATCCAGGACTCTCGATACTGCTCCTTCAGCTGCTGCATCTTGTGAGCTCTCACAATGTTGAGGCACTCCAGCTCAATGTTTCTTAGCTCTTCATTCAGCATCTCCAGCTCCTTGTCAACACTTTCTTGGTCACTTTTGTTCACATCTGTTGTACTGGTACTGTAGTAAAGACTGTACTGGTTGGCGCTCTTCACTTGACATTTCAGCTCAAGAAGCTCACGGAATCTCTCACACTCATCTGCAGGGATTCCCAGAAAGTCTGCATCTGTGCAGTCTGCAGATATGAAGGATTCGTTGCTGAACTGCATGTCCCCACTACCGAGAGTGTCATGGCTGTAGGTCAGTTTCTTGTGGCTCCCTAAGGTATTGGAGGACGTGGTCTGGTCGTCTCCCATGTTCTCTTGCTCTGAGCTCTCATCGTTGCGTGTACTTTCGTCGGTGCGCCCCACCCCACTGTCCTTCTCGTGCTGGTTGGACAAAATTGTCGCTGTGTCTGTAGTTCCACCGTCTTCCTCATGCTTTTTCTGAAACACAGGTTTCATAAACAAAGGAAAAGGATTGACTCAGTATTCAGCATCAGAATCACATGGCTGTACATGAGAACAGAGAAAAAAATGACAAATGAAAGGTCATCTCACTTTGCTGCTGGTGACCCTTATTTTTTCAAAATGAAAAGCATTTTTTACCCTGGTTCAGAAATCCAGAGAAACAGGAGAACTAATACTTGTAGAAGCCTAAATATACAGTAGTACCACTAAAAAATTTCTATCTTGAAGTAAATGATGGGATACAGGGAGACCTGGACCTTGAGAACATATATTCTGTGAATTTCATCAGCTGCTTTTACCTTCTGAATGGAAATGCCATTTGTAATGACATATTTAGGACAATGTATTGTATTGCAAAATTGCCTTACCTGTTGAAGCATGCTGGCAGTGAATTGCATGGCCTGGTGGTGCTGCTGTTCCAGCATATCCATGTGTAAATCATCCAGAAAGTCATTCCTGTCATCATCCATCCATCCTTCATCCAGCTATGAAAATGCAATAACAGAATACTTCACTTTCCAAGATCATGAGAATACTAGTGATTCATACTTAACTATCACTGATGAAAACTGACAATTACTTCAACCACCCTAAATGTTTGAAAGCAAATAATAATAATAATTATTATTAAATCCTTAAAAAATATATGTTTAACAACATTGTACTGTATAGTTTAAGCCTTATGACTAAAATGAGTAGCAACACTGTCGTGATGGTTTATGCTGCTGCCTTATAGCTCTTAGATTCCTGGGTTTGATTGTGGTCTGAGATCTCTTCTGTGTGAAGTTTACATGCTTGGTGGAGTTTGAAGTTTATGCTTGTTGTGAAGTTTATGGCTTGGTGGGTTTTCTCTGGATGCTCTGGTTTCCTCACAACTTTCAAAGACATTCTGAGTAGATTAATTTGTGCTTCCACATTGTCCCTGCACATGTGTGCACCCTGCAATGAACAGATATCTCACCCAGGGTATAGTTTCAGTGCCTGTGCTTCTCAAACAGACTCTAGCTTTTTGTGACCCACATCAAGAATAAGTGGGTTCTGCTAATGGACAGATGAAATTAAAAATTGTCCAGCTTCAACAGAAGAACAGATGAAACCAAACACGTTCTATTTTTGCATTTTATACATCTAACGGTTCAATGTTTCATGTCATAGATAACCCTTGTCTTCGCCAGTAAATCTGCTGAGCTGGAAACTTAATTTTCTGCTACTCTTTTAGTGTCAAAACTCCACTGCCTCTCTCGAGCATGGAGGTGACGGTAGCAATGCTAAATTCCATCTTTCCTGTCTGTGTGTGTTACTGTTGTCAAAGTACTTGCTCTTTACAAGGATAATGGGAAATCCTGTCTTCTGTTGGTTTTTACACTATTCCCTGTTATATTCTCCAATTCTATGATACCCTTACTTTAACTAAATAAAGGTATCATATAAGTAAAGGTATCAGTTAAGGAACATTAACTTCAAATAAGAAATATAATAAATACTTGCAGGACAACAAATATCTGAAAACATGTTCAAATGTTTAAAAACGACTTTTAAAAAGTTCCGGCAACTTCAATTCCCGAAGAAGGTTATTGATAATTTCAACAGGTTTCCTAGAAGGACAGCTATCTTACCTGAATTTCAGGCCTGGCCACAAGAAGAGACACATTTTTACTCTCTTCACTGGTCAGCAGAGCAACTGCTTCCTCCCTGTTCCGCACCTCTATACCATTGATCTACACAGAGAAAGCGAAATATAAAAATACATAAGAAATGTTATAATAGAAAGGAATAGAAATCAACCCTTCCTGAGGAATACAATCACATTAAAATATTAAAAAGCATTATAGTCCTGGTGTTTTACTTACTTGGATAATACGATCTCCCTCTCTGATTCGACCATCTTTAGCAGCGATGCTGTTGGGGTCAATCTAAAAAACAATTTTATAGACACGAAGAGAGTGAATATATGTAAAACCATCTTTTCTACCATCTTGTAGCACGCTATAGAAGAAGGCATGAAAAAATGGCTAATATATTTATATGATTTTCAGGGTAGAAATAAGAATTCCAAAGACCTCATATATATTCATTTTGAAAAAAATGCCATCGTCTGCTACCATAGTGACAGTAAGATGATAAATGGACTGGTGGACAAATGTCATTCTTTATTCTTTTCTTTCAGTCATATATCAGGGGTAGCATCCTTGATATAGGAGTAGTTTTGCTCATGGCTAATTTCTGCTTCTCTGTTGCTTTCTTTTGGAATGTGTGTACCATGTTTTCCAGCTTTTCATGACAAGTCATTTTTCCCCAGCACTATTCTGAAACGCACCTCGCTTACATAGATCCCTGTGTCATCTTCATCATCAGTTCTGTAACAAAGAGTGAGTCCAAGTTTGTCCTGACTGTTCAGTCGGTACAAGTCCACTTCCTAAAAGGAGGAAAAACACCTCTCAGAACACTTAACTACAACATTTACATGAACATTAAAATACATTCTAATCCTTTAAATGTAACAAAAGTTACATTTTCTCAAATATTCTTTTGTCACTCACAAGTGCAGGTAATTTATGTTGGAGTTATTAAGGTCTCTTTAAATCTTTTGTGAAACTCTGACTATTGCAGTACTGTCATGATACAGATCCCACAAGGCTCAGGTAACAAGAAAGTATGATTACACCCTCTAATATATCTCCCCATGTGATTATGACTGGGGTAGCAACAAAAGACCATGCTTCTTTTTTATTAATGCTTAGGATACTGACCAAAATAAATATGAATAATTTATTGACATGTCTGGAAGACAGCTGCCCAGCTCTAGCAGTCCGGCAGTGACTCCCTATTGAATTGTCAACATGTGTAATTTGTTAAATACCACAACAGTGTTTAAGTGACTTGGCTCCATTTGTGACCATAGAAAATAGATAATAGTATAGTATAATCCTGGCACCAACACAGTTAACATTATATACTTGTTTTAAAACATTTGTTACATTAATTGCTAGTGTACAACACATGCAAGAAGTACTTTTACTTCCTCTTCATCCATAAGTCTGATGTGTTTTTTGATACATTTCCTGTTATGATACTTTTTGTTGAATGTTACTTAAGAAATTTTAATGACACTTTAAGTGAAATAATTAATGCAATGATTATTGTGATTACTTGGTACATAAACGGGACTACAATCTCTTCCAGAAAGACATCTTACATATATTAAGGAAGACAAATAATTACAGTGCACAAGCTCAGGTATTTTTTCTCATACAAAAAGAAGCACTCCAATGCTAGCCTGTGCAATCACAAGGCTAAGAGGAATAGAACAAATTACAAGTATCAGAGACTCCCCATCCTGGCTGTTAAAAACAACAACTAGTTAAATCTTTATGACCTGCTATAGTATATAGTCATTATGGTGTAAAATAGGAACATTTCCATCAGCCTAAAAGGTAAATCACATTAATAAAAGCTGATGTAAGCAAACAGTTTGACGCTCAAGAGGAACACTGTGACACATGAAAGACTTATAATACAAGACCTTATAATACAAGAATTAAGTCTGAATTACAGACTGTGTCACGTCCGAAAAGAAAAACAAACGTCCTGAGAGTATGTGCCTGGGCATTTTTTTATTTTTACTGGAAGCATATCGACATTTTCTTGGTAAATTATGATTCTCCCTCAAAAAAAAAAAAAGAGTGCTTCTTTGCGGTCCATCTTCATGGCTGTTTAATAATGAAATCTTTCCACTGAAGAATTCCATTTGATTTACAAACCAACATATACATAAAATATTAAATTCTAAGAGTCTTGAATAGGTGTGTCAAAAGATTTTTGAGTGTGTTGGACATAGATGGCTGTGAGCTGCAAAGATTCAGTCATTCCCTACAATGAAGCCTCTGGGAACTAAGTGATATTTGTCTTGTTGTTTTGACATTTCCATTACAGTAAATGGAACAGTGGTAGGATAGAGAGCATTTATCAATAGCAACAAAGCAAACACAAGAGGAAGACATGGGGGCTTTGTTATTGCCTTGACCCATCCATTGATCCTTGTTTCCAAGATATCCAGAAGATTGTTTAGCGGCCTTAAGAAATATCATCAGGCCACTGGGAGAGTTCCTAGTGTTCAGCTGACTGTGTCATGCAGCAAGTTCACCTCTTGGCTCTATGCAGTACATCAAAGTCAAAGTTATTAATGCTAAGGTTTAGGGCAAATGGTGATAGGCCAATGACCTTGAAATTTTTATTTTTTTCAGGCTCTTTTCTCTGTCTGACTACACATTGACATAACAGTAAATTTATGAAGGATATGCATACTTAACTATTTTTTCCATACCCAATGCTCCAGGATGATTATTTGAACAAACCTCCTTACAAGTGTACTTTTGTCAACCAAATGAAAGGCATATTAGTAGTTGTCACAAATAAATAATGATGTTACCATCTAGCATCTGGTAATGGTTTACTATAAACAAGCATCTCAGTTCGTGTCTGGCTTGTATTTAAATCTGTATACAAGGATAAATTAGCCATAGGTTCACAAATAAAAATGCTGTTCAGTGAAAAATATCTAGTGAGCTGCACAGAGTATACAATGTGTTGACAGTTAATTGCATTGCAGCCAAAGGGTCTACAAGATACTGTATAGCTGTATTGTATAGATATTTAAACAGAATATCTTTATTTTAAGTAACAATGAGCCACTGTAGAGATTGGCAATTTCTCTGACACTACCTCATATTCAAGCTCCTCTCTCTCCATTTCCTGGTGCATGCCTTCCAAGAAGTCATTTGGGTCATAGTATTCATGTCCTGGGGAATGTCTATAAAAGCAATATTTGACAAAATGTGATACAAATATCGTAACTCTTTGATGCTCATGACGTTTTCATATTCTTGGAACAAGAGCTCAGAACAGTTACTGTTTATACACAAAGTCCTGTAAATAATAAGTTACTTTTTCACAGAAAACACAGACAAGACACAGAGACAGAAACAACTTACTTCTGTGAAATAATCACAGCAAGAGCTTGAAGTGTGATGCAGTTTTACAATTATAGCAATCTACAACTTTTATAAGTGAACACTACCTTCTGGAAGAATTAATATACTGTACTGGGACAAACTCTCCTGAATTTTTTAGAGATAGTTTACTTTCTCAGTGACCATCATGCATATTCTTTTCCTTAACCACAGTGACCCTAAGCATTAAAGCATATTTTATTGTACTAATGACAACAATTATATAGTCTTATTCCCAGCAATTTATTATCTTGTGGATCCATAAAGAATTCAGAAAAAAAACCACAAAATGTGACAAATAACTTATTGGACGATAATGTACAAATCATTCTGTTTTATGATTAGACAATTAAAACAGTATAAAGGATGCCCACCCCTAAAAAAACAAAACAGTAATTTTAGATTGTCCTGGTACTGTTAAGTGTTAATCTAAGTCAATTTGCAATAGGAAAACATCCCAGATATTCTAAAATATATTGTAAATACCTATCTCAGTAGCCACAATTTAATGCTTTTTCAGATACAATACAGTATTATGACATATTCTGAGCAGACTTTTGTTCGATAAATTATTATTACAGAGTTTTTGTCTCAGAAAATAACCTGGAGAGTTTTTCAAGACCTAATTTCAAACATTTTATAATTAAAATTAATTTAAATAAAAGTAATTGTTTATAAGGCACAACAATCACAACACAACCTACCTTACCTTGCAGTTCTGACATATAATAACCAATACTAGTACATTGCTAGAGGCCACAGACTGAGAATTCTAGATATAGCTGTATGAAACCTAATACCAATATAAATTAGCATGAACCATAATTGTACTACCTGCCCTAGGCTTGGCTATCTCCCAGACTGACAAGTGTAATTTCTACATGGAACACAGCATATATAAGTGAATATTCAATTGGACTCCTGGGACGATACAGTTTAATTTCCTGTTTAAAGAGCCTAGCAATATGTTTGTTGACTATAAAGGATTCAAGAACTGCACTGTTGTAGACCTAACATTTAACAGTACATAGCCCTTAGGCAAGGTAGGAGTTTGCTTACAATTCAAAACAGCAACAAATATATACATATTTTATGACATTTGACTATAATTTGACAGTTTTTTTCTAAGATACACTGAATAAAAACAGCACAGTAATTCAAATATACCTCTTTCACAGAATATAACTCCTTCACAGAATGCCTTCTATAGGTTAAAGGTGCTGAGATATGGATTAGTATTAGAAACCCAGCCAGTTCTACACCCTTTTGGTTTAATGTTGACAGCTTACAACTTAAGTGTGTGAGAAATGATTTTGAAATTGTGTTGAATCCTATTAGATGCAATATAAACAATTCTTAAATTCATGAAGCAGAAAATAAAAGAAAGCAAACAATGAAGTTGGGTTTCAAGAAACTGCAGTTTTCATGATGCTTTTAAATTCAGTATGTTGCAGTTTTATGGCTAAAACGTTATAAAAAGTGACCCATAAATATTAAGGGAAGGCTATGCTTACCCTTCTGGCAAAAGGTACTGCTCAAGAACACCAACAGGTGTGCTGGGAGGTGGCAGTTTTGCCAGGGCCATGATGTGCTCGAAGGTGATGTCCGTCTGTGTGCTCATGTCTGGGAGCTGGGACTCCTGGGTGGCATTCAAAACTTTTGTGCGTGGAGCTCTTCGAAGCACCTGCACCACGATGGGCTCCTTGGCCATTTTGAAAGCTTCCACTGCCTGTTCATGGGTGGCTTTGGACAGATCTTTTCCATTGACCTGGTAAAAAAAAATGTGCATGCACTAAATCAGTCATAAGCATGGTAATCTACATCTGCTCAGCACTGAAGGGTTACAAGGCAGAATGACATTTCTTTAACTTTAGATTGGACAAGGGACAGTAAAATATTCGTCCTGAACTTCAAACTTCAATTGGAGTAGAGCGAAGGGAAACAAAGCTAAAGGCTACATGCAATTTAGATCACTTCGCTGCTCAATAGTAAGTTACACCATTGAATTCAAATGAAAATAGCCATTACCAGTGATTCTATTTGTGCCTGTTCTCCACATTTTACGATAGCTCAGCACACATTTATATGAAAACACTGACGCTACATAAATAAAGTTAATTCAGTGCTATGGCTGGCAGTGTCAAAGAGGCAGGGTTAATCTGAGAAAAAAAAACATCAATATTGGCTTTGTCTGCCCTTAAGCTGCTGAGTCTATGAGCAGGCTTTTCAGATTACCCAGTTTAGCACACACACGCGCCACAGATATATTAAAAATGGAAATTTTTACTAACTCAATAATTTACCCAGATTAGTGTTGACCTTCATTTTTCTGCGTATTATATGTGTGATTTGCAATTCTCAAAAGAGCTCCAATTAGCAGGACAGGAAAGAATTTACCACAGCAACTAATAATTAAAATCAACAGCATTAACTAGGAAGAACACAGACGGCAGCCTGCCAGCAGTTGAATTTTTAAGAACACAAATGCCTTTTTTGCCTTTGATAAACTAAAAGTACTTTGCGGATTATTTAATATTTTGTTATTGTACATTTGGTGGCAAGATGTTTATATTCACCATAGACCAAGGCTTTCCTTTAAGTATGTTTTTCAGGGGACCAGACATAGCAAGCAGTAATGAAAACATGAGGACTTCTGATGACTGCTTTTTGTATGGGGCTCTCTCCTAATTACATCAGGAGACATTAAGCCTCACTATAAACAAGGATATGAAGACAGAAGATATAGTTCAAAAGTGCACAGACACAGCTGCTCCAATCTTAAATAGGCTAAAAGATGCATACAGTATCTGCAATTTAGAACACCGTGCTGTCTGATAAGCTGTCTGAAGGACCTGAACTAGATCTTAAATGTGCCTTCAACAAGCCAACGCATTTTGGCTTTTTCTAAACAATGAAAGTCCTTTCAAAACGTCTACTAAAATGACTTTATATCGGTTTTGCCTGTATTTTCACATTATTAGAGCAGAGGATACTGATAATTACAACAACTACTGTTGTCTATTCTAGACTCTTTAAAGCAATTTCTTCTTGGATTACTGAAGCATATGTCTTGTGGAAACTTTGTTTCCCCTGGATGTTTCCCCAATGCTGAATGCTAGCAGAAGCAAATCATTTGCAACAGATACTACTAACAAAAACTGTCCCGAAGTGTGGCAAAGACCATGTTTAAAATTCAAAAAGTCAAAGGATAATGTATGATAACTTGCTAATACCCCTCCCTATTTCATAAGGTGAAAGTACTACTGAACCAAATGGGATATTAATTAGCATGAGCCTAGCTTTGATTAATCAAGGTCATTATACAAACTGAAATGAGGTGCCCTCATTTAATAAAAGTAATTTTCTCACTGTGAAAAAAAGTGACTTCCCTTTGGAAATTGACTGAATTCAATATTTTAACCTATGAAGATTAATTTGTGGAAAAGGGCTACAGTATGTTTCTATGAAGGAGCTAATTAAAGTCGGATTTGCCACTTGGCATATTTAAACTACTCCTTGGTGCTTTTACAACTCTTTAATGAAAGATGAAAGGACCGCCACAGTTCCAGTATACGCCAAAATAAGGTATCGATCCTAAATTGACTCTTATTTATATCACAATTTGCTTGTACTAGACCAGTAGTAAATTGCTTTTTTTAGTTTTAAATAAAGAAGGTACAATATTTTTTTGTCAATATTCAGGCTTAGTGCAGGCACTGTGAAGCATGAGTGGTGCATTCACAATGATTAAATAAATGCCAATATTAAAATAAGTATGTCCACAAATGTCAATAAACTCAAATGTTCTGTTGACATCGTTCCCTACAGCAATCATTTTCATTCCAAGTTATATATGAGGGTTTGCCTAGAGATAAGTATGAGATTAGTCTGTATAAGGAACACAGCAGCAGTGTCAATCATATTTCAGATTTATTCCCCACTCCACCTGAAGAGATGTCTACACAACCACGGCTCACACTCATTCATATTCATAGCTTACAGCGCATGTATATACTTTCAAAGTTTAATATAATAATTCAATGTCTTTTAAGGATAGACCAATATGTTTCATCCACTGTTGATATTAATATCTGCAGAAATCATGGTGTAAATGGAAAATGGAAATTTACTGTTAAACTTTGAAGAGGTTATGCAATTGCTAATAACTAAAAGGGATTAAAGCTAATCCATGCCTGAAGGATAATTGGATCATCTATAATGGCTCAACTTGTACTTTCTTAACATTGGAAATGGAAAGAAAAAGTGCTGGCTTAGAATGTAATTAGATATTACACACAATGTCAGGTACAAAACTAGTAGTTTGTTTAGTGCTAGTACCGTATATATACTGTACATGTACATAGACACAGAGATACAAATCTGTTTAATAAAGATATCTTTAGAGAACATACAAAAGCACATACTTTTTCGCAAGCCATTAGTCTTACTCACATACAGTATATAATTATGCATGTGGATTATGGCCTTCAAACATAGACCAACAACAAAAAGTAATTGGGAACTTATCTTTGTTGTTGCACAAGCCAAGAACAGTTTATTTTTTTCTCTAAACTAAATGCACTGGCGATAAGTGAACAATGCAGCATACGATCATATAACAATACTAACAAAATGCTACTTATTCAAGGTAAAATATGCATCCATTCAACTCCAGCCTTTTCCTTGAAGCTCCGAGGAGCAGCAATGACACCACAGCTCAGCTGTGAAAGATGAATGCCGACTGTGGCAACTTCTTTTTTTCTGCTTGCTCTCCTGCTTTTACAGGCTCACACAGCAATCGTGACCCAGGATTCCCACTCCTTTTCAAAGGCACCTACCCCAAACAAAGCACTGCCACTCCCAATGTGGTCAGCACATCTCACTTGACTGAGCACGCTGGAAACATTAAAAGCACATGGTGAAGGGGCAGACTGCTAACGTTCACAGACCTAACCTCTACCCCTCAGCACCTTTGTGCCGAACCGCTATGACAGTTTTCTTATAAATACGTTAGCTCAAGATCTGCAGGTGGTAGAGATAAAAAACAGGACTGTTACAAACTTGAACTGCAGTCTTTAGGAAATAATAAAAACCACTCCAGATAGGCTAAAGTACGGTGTCTATAATCATATTTATGTCGTAGAATTTAAATATTATATAGGTGAAAACATTTGCACAATCAGCCTAGAAAGTACAATATTAAGATAACCGGTATAGGGTATGTAAATGTATGCATTGTATATAACAAGTAAATCCTATTGCTGTTTTGATATTATCTACTGCAAATCAACTCAAATCCAGTGTGAGGATGAAGGAATAGAGCACATACAGTACATCTACACAATACGAGCCTGTGACAGTAGGATTTATTACACCTAATATAGTAATAACTTAGCAGTGTAAAGATACCACTAAATTACAGAAGAGTCATTTAATCTGAGGAGTAACACTTGAAGATGCGTGGCTTTAGAAAAAATTGCCATCAGACATTCACATTCAAATTCAAGCTGGTTGGATCAGATTTGTAACAGTTGTTACTTTTAGCATTCTCAATAAATTTCTTAATTTTACGGATTATTGTTTAAATTACAGCAGTTTAAACTGTTTTTGTGATTTGGAATTGTAAGAATAAACTTCACTTCTTGCAAGACAGTACTACAAAGTGTTTTTTGCTCTTTTCCTGACAGATCAGTGATAACAAGTGAATGAATAAGCACCCTGATTCTGTTAGCCTAGACCAGTAGTTCGGAAACCTTAACTGCAGCCCGCAGTTAAATAAAAATAAAAGTAAAAAATTGTTGAAGTAGTTCAGTTCTTTAAACTTAAGATACTTAAGATCATAAATATGGAATGAAAGAGAATTCTATATTTAACCTTGCATTAAGATTAAGAATACATGAATAATTACACTTATTTTACATTTATCATAAAATGTATAGGTTTGATGATACAGTTGTAATTACATGCTTGTGCTTCATTTGTGTTTTAAGTGATTTACCTTCTGAAGAAATCTGGCATGTCTCATACCCCCAGAAAGGGCATCTTGCACACTCAGAGAAAGACCCACGGGTCTAGACTGATAAAGCCAATGACGTCATGTAACCCCTCAATACACAGGTGGGGGACGGGAAACATAAAAGCAAACATTGCTTTAATAAATGGCTGACATTTGGATTTCGTTAAATCCTGGTTGTGTACTCTTCTTCCTAAAAGAACAGTAATGAAGTCTGGCTATTGTTTGCCAAGGCAGGGTCTGAGATTTAAAACTTCAAAGTCTTTTTTACTGGGTGAAGGGATGAGGGAATTCTCAGCACATATTCTTGTATACAAACCACATCGTAGAGTCCTCCTGTTAATTAAAGATATCAGCTTTATATGATCCTGGTGAAAAAAAAACTTTTTTTTCTCCAGCTATAATTCCTCCCCCCACCCCATTACGTCAAGAGAGAAAGACAGACTGTTATTCTCAGCTGGGGGTGATGTTGCATACTGTGTTCCTCACTTCAAATCTGTGCCCCAGTCAAGGTCACAACATCTGTGATATCTCCAAACAGCTCATTATGTTGTTTTAAGCAAAAGCATTGTCCTGGAGATAATTTAAATTACCAAGCAGTGCCACATTTACACCTTCTTGCTAACTCCAGGAATTTAAATCAGGCATAATTAAAATCTGAACACAGGTTGACAGGTGTTCACATTTTAGGTTTTCTTTCATTGTTGACCTAATGCCAGGGTGGCTAAGCTGTTATCTTTTGTTGTTACATCTTT